CTTTTTTTTTTTTTTTTTTTTTTTTTTTTTTTTTTTTTTTTGCGGTACGAGGGCCTCTCACTGTTGTGGCCCCTCCCGTTGCAGAACACGGGCTCCGGACGCACAGGCTCAGCGGCCATGGCTCACGGGCCCAGCCACTCCCCAGCATGTGGGATCTTCCCGGACCGGGGCACGAACCCGTGTTCCCTGCAACGGCAGGCGGACTCTCAACCACCAGGGAAGCCCTCCTGCCATCTTTAATAGCACCTCACATGACTGATATTTACCAAAACTTGAGATTCACTGATGTAGTCTTTTGAGATTTTAATCCTTCTAAAAAGAAATATCTCATTGGTTTGAGGTTTGGGGGAACCAAAGGATACAGAAATAGCAGGAAATCCCTGAAAACCATCATTGCCAAGCAAACATGGAAATAACACAGTTCAAAATGTATGTAAGTTTTTTTCACATTGAAACTATACAAACATTTGATATAATAAAACCTTGTTAGCTTGATATTATAAGAAATTAAACCCTAGCAATCTTACTGGCGACGTACAAATTGGTCTCCACCTGCCTTTTCTGATAGATTTTGATGAGATTGAAGGAGAGCCATATACCTACCAGGAGGGAATGAGCTTTGTCACACCAGAGAGAAGAGGTTTTTGCAAATTCACATCTCACCTAGGTTTTAAATTTTTTGCCATTTTCTGAAATTCTTTATGGGGTATGAAGTTGCATTCAGCATGTCGATTGTCAAGCTAAGGAGGTTCTGTTATAGAGGGTTTTTTCCCTTTTTCTTTCTTCCTTTTTTTTTTTTTTTTTTTTCTCTTTTTCTTCTTTTAAATGTGACGGAAAACGTTCAGGGCTTCTAAACACTAAAGAGAACATTTTGGCTTAGGCCAGTGTTCAGTCTAGTGCCAAACTCACAGTGGAATTCAAATGCATATAGTAAGGAATTTATTCAGAGTGGCTATCCTAATAATCTTTCACTTTGCTCTATTCAACTGTCTTAAAATTTCCTGTTTCAAACAGCTATGTTACTTGATTAAAACAATGTTAAAATTTTTTGTCTCTGCTTTAATATTAAATAACCTAAATTTTTGTTTATAAAATTGGAGCATTGAAATCTCAACCAATCCATTAATAAATAAATAAATAACACAGTTCACAGCATCCTCGGCAGGCAGAATTGAAGGAGCCTGGAATCGTGTCTCATCCCTCCTTGGGAATGGAATAGGAATCATATATGCCCTTCTCTTCTTGGGAAGATAATCAAGAATCCTCCTTAAGTAAATCCCTCGAGTTTGCCCGTGACCCAACCAGGGCTTCTTAGTCCCAGATGTGCTGGCAGTGCCCCAACAATAAACCTGCCAGTTAAGCAACAGAATATCATTATCATGAATGTAATTACAGACAGAAATTACGAGCTCATAAACGCCTCTCACGAATGGAGCCCTTTTCCCAAACCATCTCGGACCCTTTTCTTAGGAAAATGGAAGGCAATCCTATCCCCTGCCTCCCCGCAAAAATAACCTCACTTGCTTAGAAGAAATTCCCGCTCTTGCTGGCCCAGGGGATGTCCTGAGCAAACTTTAATGGACTGTACTTTAGGGAGGAATGTCCCCTTGGGTGGGGTCCCTTCCATCATCTCTCATGGGAGATGGGAGCGTGTTGACTAGCTCCCTTCACTAGGGAGCAGTGACTACCCAGTTTGGCTGTATTTCTTAATTTCTGTGCAAGTAGGGGAATTAATACCACATTTTAAGAATTTCTGCAGAAAAATCAAATGTTGGAGGTGCTACAAAAAACTGTGATAACTTTAACATTACCTGAAGTGGAGCATTAGGGACTTCCCTGGTGGTGCAGTGGTTAAGAATCCGCCTGCCAATTCAGGAAGCCCTGGTCCAGGAAGATCCCACATGCCGCGGAACAACTAAGCCCGTGCACCACAACTACTGAGCCTGCGCTCTAGACCCTTGAGCCACAACTACTGAGCCTGTGCTCTAGAGCCCGCGTGCCACAACTACTGAAGCCCGTGCACCTAGAGCCCGTGCTCCGCAACAAGGGAAGCCACCGGAATGAGAAGCCCGCGCACCACAACGAAGAGTAGCCCCCGCTCTCCGTCACAATTAGAGAAAGCCTGCACGCAGCAACGAAGACCCAACGCAACCAAAATTAAATTTTAAAAAATAAAAATAAAATGGAGCATTACACGGTGCAGTTTCCTGAGAAATTAGAGTCCGTGACAATTGAGTAGACATCATAGAAACATGCATGGGTGAGAAGGCTTTTCACTTCTGTAGAAACGAAATGAAACTCTTTTTGCAAAGTTAACCCTTGCATTCAGTGGCTTTATATTTAGCTTGTGAAAACCTTTTTTTTGGCCACACTGCGTGGCACGTGGAATCTTAGTTCCCACACCTGGAATCGAACCCTTGCCCCCTGCAGTGGAAGCGTGTAGTCTTAACCAGTGGACTGCCAGGGAAGTCCTAGCTCAAGAAAACCTCAAACCCTCGTGGATACTAGGTCCTTGAAAGGATTCCACACAGATACGTTTCATCTGAAATGCCATACAATCTCCCAAGATCCTAAGCTGTTTTTTTCTTTTCATGGAAAGTGAGACTAAGTGCCTGTAATTGCAATAGGAGCTGGCACGCTGGAGTCCAGACCTTTTGGATTTACCATGCATTGAATAACGCCCTAGAAACTGAGGAGAAAGAACCCAGGTCTAGTTCACTCCCCTCCCATGATGCCTAGCACAGCCCTTTGCATAGAGTGAATTTTCAGGGCTCTTCTTTGAATAAGAGCAAATATTACATCCACAAGTGTTGTACGATTTTGTTTAAAGGGGTCATTGGCTACTGGCCAAGTTAGGGTATTTTATGCTGCAGTATTTCCATTGACTATGACAGAGAAGTCACGTGTCGATTATTGCTATCTTGCTGTAGTTGTTCACAATCTTCTCCTGTACTAGAAATAAAGTGGATGGGTATTGGGGTTTCCACACAGTAACCGCAAGACCAGGAAAGGTAAATGCAACTTCCAAAAGGGGCTGAGAACAGATGACACCTTTAGAGAAACCACCCCTAACCAACATCTCTGAAGGCATCTAGTAGCTTTACAGAGGGGGCTTGTGAAAAGCGAAAGCGTGTTTAAGCCTTGCATTAAGTAATTTAAAATTCATTTTAAGTGTCTGAACAGAAGCTTTAAATTCCCAGTACTATGCACAGACCAGGATGGACTTGTCTCTCTGATATGGATATTCACGGTCCTTTGGCCCTTTCAGCATAAAAGAAATTCACTTATCGATTAGTCTTTCCATCACTGTCTATAATCACTTTAAAAGTAGAACTCTATATTTTTTTCTCATTTTGACAGACAGTAGCCTACGAATTTCTGGAAATATGGGTGACCAGATGGATTATGTTTTTTAATGTGACTGCATCTACAAATTATATATATTAGCATACTCCTTTTTACTCTCTACTTTATAGCCGTATTCAGTAAAATATTCAAGGAGGTAAAATTTGCCACCAGGGAAGGTTAGTGTGAGAACGTTTTCATTATATTGTTGTTTCCCATTCTCTAGAGGGCAGACCCTCAAGTCCCTATAAATTGAATAGAGAAAACAACATCGTATACATAAACCATAACTGCCTGTATCTCAACGCAAGAGACATGTGGCTTTTCATTCTATCATTAGGGCTCTTAATTTACCCCACAAATAAAGCACTATCTGCTCGGTTCATCTGATCTCCTCGCCTGTTTGGGACAACATTGAAACCATCGACACAGTTTCTCTTGGAAGAGCCAGCCCTTTGTGTCAGGCTGTCGGGAGTGGAAGGTGACAGGGAGAACAGAGTTGTCACTCTCACGTAGCCACGTGGCACGTCCCTCTTAAGCAACAGGGTGCCCCTCAGGTCAGCCTGGGATAACACCCAAGTCAAATAAGGCCGACTCCTGGATGTTTTATGTCCTGAGGCTCTGAAAAGTGTCCACGGCCAGCCCTGACCCTCGAGACCTCAAATGGTCGTCTAAGCAGTGACATAAATTGGTGTCCACTTGCTCCTGGGCCATTGCTGTTGGGAGCAGGACTGGTGAAAGGGCAGCCTTCCCGTGGAGGAGCTGACATCTTAGTAGGCAGTAAAATCGGGGGAATGTGTTGATTACTCGGACAGGCAATCCAGCGCCGGTGGCTCCATGCCTGAGGCTGACACCCTCTGCATCTTATGACCACTGTCAAGGGGAGGGGTGTGCGAACGCTGTCAGCCCCAAAGAACCGAGAAAGCACTTGCCTTCCAAACCTCTCCATCTCAGACCCATCCTGACAATGCCAAAGCTCGTCATCTCGTGTTTTTCAACCCTCCAGAAAATGGCCTTCCAGCCTGGGACAAGCCGAAGCCTTGTCCCCACGGCAAGCAGGAGTGGAAGCTTGTGGGAATGTCTGAAGCCTGCCTGCACAGGAAGAGCCCCCCAGAGAGGCACAGCGCATTGAAGAATGAACAGTCGCCCCGGCATCTCATCCAGGCCACCTGGACCAGCTCCATATTCCATCTGGACCACGACGATGTGAACGATCAGAGCGTCCCTAACGCCCAGACCTTCCAAACAGAAGAGAAGAAATGTAAAGGTAACCAGATTTTTATTAGACCCCAGTTGCCACAAGGAAAAGAATTTTCTCTTAAGTGTGTGCTCTGTTTCCACTGAGTCCACATATGGTGTCCATGTGTTTTCCCCAGCTGCTCTCTTCCAAAGTTTCTTTATCCCCATATCTTCTGGGAAGCATAAAATAAGTGGGTTCCAAAGGAAAGCAGTTAATTTCAGTTTCATGTTGGGGCACTTGGGGAGAAGACATTTTTCTTTCTCTAATTAGCAGGAGGGTTGTTAGTTTTGGCTTCACTTCTGTTTTCAAAGCTAAGTAGAAACAGACATTGATATCGTTACATAACTACTTGCTTTGAAGCGTGTGTGTGTGTGTGTGTGTGTGTGTGTGTGTGTGTACACATGACTTTCCCAATTGTGCCAGTAGCTAATGGGATCTCAAAGTCTACCTTTAACCTAAATAGACAATTCATGTTCAAAAGAGAGGTTTGAAGTTGTTTTCTTTTACTCGTTAAGTCCTGTGTCATCATCCTGAAAGGCCAGATTATGGTGTTAGGGGGTTGTCACCTCATAAAAACATGTTAAACTGGCCTAAGTTTCTGATTGCATTAGATTTAACTGGTCTTTACCTCAGGTCGCCTCCACCCTGACAGATGTCTTTGTGTTGATCGCTTTATGGTCTTAGGGCTTCCCAAAATCTTTGCTTCTTAAATCAATTTGTGTCTTTAAATGTCCAAGTTCATGTGACCTCCCACTCTTTCAATTCAGCATTTTTAAAAATAAGGTCTTTTTCCATTTTCTTTAAGGACTTTGACTCATGATCAAGTTATTTTTTATGGAAGTGTAGTTGATTTACAATGTTGTGTTAGCATGATAAAGTTTTAAATGGTGTATCTGAAAATCTGCCAATCACATACCAAGATATATTAATGAAAGTTTGTAAAGACTCTTATATATGAGCCATGAAGGACTTTTGCAAAGTGTTCTAACTTGAACATAAAACATGATCATATTCATCCCTCTCAAAAAGCTGCTGGTCCTTTAACTTTTCTGAAAACACTTCAGAAGCTCCTTGGAACCCCCAACTTGACCTGTGAAGTTGGGTGTGTGGACTGTTTCAGATGAATATAGGATTATCTAAACAAATAATAAAATAGTGGTATGAGCTCTGATTTCAGTACAGTCAAAACCATATATGTTCTCTTGGGGAAGATTTGTGTTTGAACTGTCTCTCATCTTTATTATTTAGGAGATTTGAGAAATTGAAAGGGATATTAAGAAAAAGAGCAAAATAAGTTTTTCCAAAAAAGTCAGGATATAAAACAGGTGTCTCTGTGTGTATGTGCACACTTGTTTGAAATGCAATTGAGAGTTAGTCTTAGAACTTGTAACCAGGTTGTATCTTCAGATTTTAGGAGCTGGCGTCAACACCACATCAGTCCTTGGTTCACAGTGAAATGCCTTGGTTTACAGGAAACTGCAGTGTCCTCATGATCTAAGGACCTCACAAACTAAATGTGACTTATTCCTAATTGGTACCCATATTCATTCATTCATTCATTCACGGGTCCATCTCCATCATTTGTGAGAAATCTTGGCCTTGGATATGTAGAGTTTGCGACGCTGTCCAGTTTCCAGTTTGTTGGTAAACCTTAAAAGCAAAAGGAAAGAGTTTCTATTTGGATCCAAGACCCTAAGTGTTGTAAATACAGTGATTAAGATCACAGATTTTTGAGTCTGCCATATTTGGGCTAGAATCTCAGCCTTTCCACTTTCTGTCCTTGAGCAAACCTATGTGATTGTTGATAGAATTGAAGGTAATAGATTTAAGCGCTTTAGCACAATATCTCCCATAGTGCTCTCTAAGCAGCAGCTTCATTCTTGCTGTGACCATTATGATCAGCTCTGCATCATTAAATCACATAAATTCCTTGGGCTGCGCTGAGTGCCTGGTGAGGGATGAAGAAGACCAGGACAGGTGGGTGTGGGGTGCAGCATGACGTCGCAGAGGGTTTAGACTTGATCATCCATTTCGCATCCATTCAGCTCTCTTTTGCTGCAAGGTGGAGAATTGTTTACTAGGAAAATATACTTAAATTAGTAAACGAAAGGCCTTCCTCCAGGTTCTAGTTTTAAAAGGAACGCAACTAAGGTAAACGCTCCCGTAGTTTCCAGAACAACAGCCAGGGTTCACACTGGCATGGACGTGAAGCCAATGCCTTGCTTCAGCGTGAAGATTCTGAGGAAGCCTACTGTCATGGCCAAAACTGTAAACTGAATTTCACTCGTTCCCAGTGGACACCGGTATTTGATGAGGTGGTGGTGAGGCCAGGGAAACAACTGGAGTGGTTGCTTTTCTTTTCCGAGTTGGGTCCTCTCCATCTACTCGGCTTGCCAGCCACCTCCTCACAGGATCTGTGAGAAGAGCTCTATTTTGACATCCATCCAGCCTGGGCATTGATTTCCTGGCTCTCTCTGTCTAGCCTGCAAGCGTGCTTGGTATCTCTTTCCTGGACTACCATTCCATGCCTGCGTCCCATCTGTGTTTATTAAGTGCCTACTATGTGCAGGAGATTGTCCTTCATATCCTTGAAGGAATAGCAGCAGGGCCAAACATCCATCCAAGTACCCCCATTTCAAGGACTCCAAATGGAATTGATGAGAACCAAATGACCCTTAAAGATACAGAAAGAGTCTGCAGTGACGGAGCCATAAGAACAAATGGGCTGCTTGAAGTTCTGCAAAAGCCCATCTCCCAAATCAGTGATCTAGCCAGTCTAGACCATTGTGCCTCTGAGTGTGGGGGTTTTTTTAAATTAATTTTTATTGGAGTGTAGTTGCTTTACAATGTTGTGTTAGCTTCCACTGTACAGCAAAATGGTTTGTGGTTGGGTACCCTTCTGCAAACTATTACCTCCTACCCAGTTCTACTGATGCAAGTACAGAAACCGAGAAGAAGCTTTAGAAACAGTCATAGCCAAATAGCATCGCCACTGGCGTTCAAAGGCATGATCAGTGGATCCATCTCACTGAACAGGGTAGAGTCTGGTTGGATATTGTCAGACTCGCTTGGTCGGTCACGCAGGGCCAGAGCTCTGTATAAAAATCTTGTGCAGCAGAACCAAGGGTTGGGCCATCGTGGACTGGATATTTTGTAAATTATTCGAGATTTACTGATTTATGCTTTGCAGTATTCTTTTTCTTTTCTTTTCTTTTTTTAAATTTATTTTTGCCTGTGTTGGGTCTTGGTTGCTGTGCGCAGGCTTTCTCTAGCTGTGGCAAGCGGGGCCTTGTTGTGGAGCACGGGCTCTAGGTATGTGGGCTTCAGTAGTTGTGGCACGTGGGCTCAGTAGTTGTGGCTCGTGGGCTCAGTAGTTGCAGCTCATGGGCTCTAGAGCACAGGCTCAGTAGCTGTGGTGAACAGACTTAGTTGCTCCGCGGCATGTGGGATCTTCCCGGACCAGGGCTCGAACCCATGTCCCCTGCATTGGCAGCCGGCTTCTTAACCACTGCGCCCCCAAGGAAGTCCCTTTGTAGTATTCTTAATGTTTTTCTCTAGGCTTATTTTTGGTAGGTACTGAATGCCTTCTTTTTCATTTTGATCTGAATACTGCTTTTATTTTAATCTGCATGTACGTGTGCTCCTATGTGCTACAACCGTTGTAAGGAAATTAATTGGTAACACATTTAAATGAAATGAGAGCCCTGGAGCCCTGACATTCTGCTGCATATCCCACAATTCAAATCTGCTCTAGTGCCAGAGGCTATTTCCAGCCAGAAGCAAGTGACCCGGTTCCCCTCTGTTTTTGTCACAATGTGAGCTAATTGCTCAACGGTGAGGACCACACCCTGCTCCCCGCCCACCTCCTCCCTTCCCAGAGTCTGAGATGATGCTCCCAGCTCTCCAACCAGTGGCACTAGCAGTACCTGGACCTCTTAGAAATGCAGAATCTCGGGCCCCAGACTACTGAGCTGGAAGCTCTAGAAAGGGGCCCAGGAATCTGTATTTTAACCAGCCCTCTGAGCAATTCTTAAGACTTGAGCATCAGGAAGTGCCTGAGAATATGGACAAGCTCTTAGTACCAGTAAAGGAAAGTGTCTGCCACCTAGTGGACACTCGGGGAATGTGCATTTTAATTCCTTTCCTTGAGCGCACCTTGGAGAGCCACCTGAGTCTCTCCATTCTTGATGGGTCCTCCCTTTAGGCCTGGCTTCTCTTAATTGCCAACCGGGTGTTCTGCTCAATCCCTCTGCCCAGTAACATCCCTCTGGGACTTGAACCCTTCTGAGAGTCCCACTCTGTTTGGCTGGAGCCCAGCTCTTCCTCCAAGTTCTTACAAGGCTTCTCCCCTCAGCCCTCTCACACCCTCCAGAGCTTCTCTCTGGGAACCACAGGTCCCACCAGCCCCACAAGGATGGGTCCTGGACAGATGCACGCACCCCTGTAGCTGGATCTTGTCAGCCCTGCTGAACCCAGACAGTCAGACCTCCAGCCTGGATGTTTGCCCTTGATGTCAATCAGGGACTTCCCTGAAACACTGGAACCTGGTGGAAGAAACAAGGCAGGGAATGACCCATTTCCAGGGTTGCGTCGGAAAAAAAGATAGCAATCTGGTGAGCTCACTGAATTTTCTCTGTAGGTCCGTTCTGTGTTTCGTATCAAGAGAATTGAATCTCAGATACCCAGAAAGGCAAGAAAACATAGTCAAAATAATTTTACTAGGAAGTTACTTTCTCTCACTGTAAAAGCCGCCCATGTACGAAAAGTAAAAATTTCCCAAAAGTTCAACAAAAATGACTTTTAGAGATCGTTTGTAATTCCATCCTCCAAGGATATTAAAATCTTTATTATATAGTTCAGTCTTTTTTTCTGTGCATATCTATGTTTTACAAACTTGGAATCATACTAGGCATACCATTTTTAACCAGCTGTTAAGGCTTAACAGTATATCATGAACATGTTCCCTTGTCATTAAATATTCTCCTGAATCCTGACTTTTATTGGCTATAGATTATCCTTGCTTATAG